ATAGCTAGAACTGTGCCTGGCTTCTCAAGGCTTCTTTTTAGACCACTGTGTGTTTTGGTATCATCCAGTTGTGTGGAAACTTAATCTCCCAGCTCCCTGCTGAGCAACACTCGGGCTGCTTGCAGAGCTTTACTTTTGTAAGCAATGGCTATCACTGTATGCTCACCCTCGTGCTCCTTGGGTGTCACTTCTGGAACTCAGTCCTAGAACTAGGCCTGCTGTCACAGGTGGAAACCCCTTCCCTTTTACGCAGGCTGATGTTGAGCTGTAGGCAGGTGTAGAGTAAAACACCTCAGGGTTTTACTCAGGGCCTTTCAGGAAGTCACAGCCAAGAGAGCAGTTGGTGTGTACCTGTGCCGGCCAGGTACCTGTTCCCATACCCAGGAACACACAAATCCACCTTTGTCTCTAAGATTGAAGGGACCACGGGCCTCTGAGCAGCTGCATTGTCAGGTGACCAGGATCAGAGACCAGAGGTCCCTGGATGGCAATAATGTCCTTCCTTCCTTCCTTCCTTCCTTCCTTCCTTCCTTCCTTCCTCTCTCTCTCCTCTTTCCCTCTTTTCGTCTTTCTCCCTTTTCTCTTTTCTTCATTCCTTTCCTTTCTTCCTCTTTTTTTTTTTAAAGACCAGGTCTTACTGTGTAGTCCAGGCTGGCCTGGAATTCACAGAGTTCTGCTTACTTCTTCTCTTAAGTGCTGGGGTTAAAGGCCACACTAATATGCCTCTAGCCCTCTCTAAGATCTCCCATGAGGTTCTTTTTTTGCAGGGGAGGGATGAGGGACTGGGATTGGGCTTAAAGACTTACAATTGCTAGGTAAGCAGTCTGCCCTTGAATGATGCTGTCTGTAGCCCATTCCTCTCCGTTTTGTCTCTGGAACTTGCCTTGAGACCTGCAGGTGAAAATAAATGTGAGCCCTGGGTCCTAGTTCATTCGTTCATTCCTTCTCACCAGTATTTATTAAATGCTACCCTCTCCCATGCTCAGTGGGGTTTCAGCTGCTGTTTGTGATGGTTAATTTTTATTGTCTACATAGAATCACCTAGGACACATACATCTTGGGCCCTTGTGAGTAGCCGGGGAAGAGGACATTCCTTGAATGCAAGTGATGCCATCCGTCTTAGTTACTGCGTGACTGCCAAGGAGACACCGTGATCAGGACAACTTATAGAAGAAAGCATTTAGTTGGGGGCTTGCGGTTTCAGAGGATTAGTTCACGATCATCAAAGCTCTGGAATAGCTAAGAGCTTATATCCAATCCACAAGCAGAAGACCGAGAGAGAAAACAAGAGACTGAGTCTGGCATGGGCTTTTGATACCTCAAAACCTACTCCCAGTGACAAACTTCTTCCAACAAGGCCACACCTCTGAATCCTTCCTAAACAGTTCCACTAACTGATAACCAAATGTTCAAATAGATGAGCCTATGGGGGCCATTTTCATTAAAATAGCATGCCATCCCGTGGGCTGGGGTTCCAGACTGTATGAAAAGGAAAATAAAATGGGTCTGGGAAGATGGCTCAGTGGGTAAGAGCTTTTACTGCGCAAACACGGGGACCTGAGCTTGAATCACCAGCAGCCAGCAGCATGGGAAGCACCAAATGTTGCCACAGGTACCTGTACCCATAGTGCTGTGGGGCCGGGGAGGGGACAGGAAGATGACTGGAGTTTGCTGGCTGCCAGCTTAGTTCCAGAATTAGTAAAAGGCCCTGTCTCAAAAGAGTAATGTAGAAGATAGAGTAGGGCGCCTGACAGCCTTCTCTGACCTCTGTGCACATGTGCATGGGTGCACACACTTGTGCATGACACCACACACACACACACACACACGTCCACACGCACAAAACCGAAAAAGGAGAAAGTCAGCCAGTGCCAGCATCATCCCCCTCAGCCCCCTGACAATGGGAGCAGCCTCCTCGTGCTCCTGCAGCTGTGCCTTCCCTACCATGACCTGCTGGACCACCACACCATGAGCCAACACAAGCCCTCCCTTCCTTATGCTGCTTAAAGGAGAAAGTAACTAATACATTGTTGTCAGTTTTTAAAACTTTGTTCCTATCTCCATCACAGCCCTTCTGCTAAGCGAGTTGGCTGGCAGAATGGCAAGTGGAAGGCACAGCCCTCAGTTCTTGCCCAGGTCAACCAGAAACCTTCTCTGGCTCTGGCCACTCTCTTCCCATTGCTCACTCTCTCTGTTAAAGCATATCCCCACTCCCCAAGTCTGGAGATCTAACTCAATGTCTTGTACATGCTGGGCAAACATCATACCACTGAGCCACATTCCCAGGCTCAGTAATTGACATAAAAAGTAAGGTAGGACTGATGGTGAAGCTCATCTGGTAGGGCCCTGGATTCAGTCTCCAGTACTGCAGAAATAGAATCAGACACATGGAGACATAATTACCAAAAGTGCTAGCTGGGCATAGCGGGCCATGGCTTGAATCCCAGCACTTGGGATGCAGAGGCAGGCAGAGACCTGCATTTGAGGCCATTCTGATCTACAGAGAGAATTCTAGAGCAGCCAGGACTATAACAGAGAGGTGCTCTCTTTTTTGAAAAATGATCTAAAGGCCAGGCAGTAGTGGCACATGCCTTTAATCCCAGCACTTGGGAGGCAGAGGCAGGTGGATCTCTGTGAGTTCGTGGCCAGCCTGGTCTACAAGAGTTAGTTCCAGGACAGGTACCAAAACTGTAGAGAAACCGCGTCTCGAAAAAACCAGAAGAAAAAACAATGCTCTAAAGTCCTAATCCTGAAACCATGTCTTCCCTTTGACCAAGAGACCAGACCTGCCCGTTGGTCTGTGGCTCCTGAACCTCCCCTGTAAACAAGGACTCATCCCCTTCCTGCACGCTGGTTGACTGTCCACACAGCATTTTACGGCCATTATCTCACTTGGCTACCCACAAAGCCGGGATGCAGGCAGGGCAAAGATTATTATCCACACCTTACAGGGAGGGAAATTGGGGCTCACTGGGGTGAGGTGTCTGGCCTGCAGTCACACAGCTCTGGTCACCATGCAGGTCCTTCATGATGCGGCAAGCTGACTCAGGCACTGGATTTCTGAAGCCCACAGATGGCTGTTGGGGGCCAAGGGCTGAGCTGTCTAAGCTATTATTAAGGCAATGTGAAAGATCAAGGTCAGACTAGCAGCAGTAAGTCACCGACCGACAGGCTCTCCTTTTGGAAAGGGGTACAGTCATTTCTGGGATTTTCAATATTTTGGACAGGGTTTTGTTACATAGCTCAGGCTGGCCCCTAAATCACTCCCTTCTCTACCCCCTACCCCTGGAACTGAGGACCAAACCCAGGGCTTTCGGCTTGCTAGGCAAGCACTCTACCACTAAGCTAAATCCCCAACCCCTAAGCTGAGTTTGTAGTGAGAATCCTGCCTGAGTGATGTTTGAAGACTGAAGAAGCTAGGTTCAGGGTCCCAACCCCAAGTCCTTGATTTAAGGGGAGTGTCTAGACCCAGATTCCACAGGGGCAGTGCAGAAGGTGGCAGTGAAAGGCCAATTGGTAGATTTCTAGCTGCAGTGTGAAGCTGGTTGATGTGTCTCCTGGATCACAACTGTATTCTGAAGTGTGATTCTGGGGACTTTGAGGAAGCAGAATTCAGTCTCTTTCTTTGATAACTGACCCTCAGAGGACAGGCGATAAGTTAGGTACAAAGGTTTCAGTTTTCTCCTGGTTTTTGTTGTTTTGTTTTGGTTTGGTTTTTTTGAGACATGGGTTTCTCTGTAGCTTTGGAGCCTGTCCTGGAACTAGCTCTTGTAGACCAGGCTGGCCTTGAACTCACAGAGATCCTCTTGCCTCTGCCTCCTGAGTGCTGGGATTAAAGATGTGCACCACCACTGCTCAGCTCCTATCTCATGTTTTAAAGTACCAGAATCAATTGTTTAACTTATGAGGGTCAGTCATTTATTTATAATTATTTTTATTTATTTTACATTGGTTTTTCTTTTTTAATTTTTAAAAAGATTATGTATGGAGTGTTCTGTCTGCATGTATGCCTGCACGTCATAAGAGAGTACCAGATCTCATTATAGATGGTTGTGAGCCACTACGTAGTTGCTGGTAGCTGAACTCAGGATCTCTGGAAGAACAGTCAGTGCTCTTGATCTCTGAGTCATCTCTCCAGCCCTTATTATTGGTTTTTCAAGACAAGGTTTCTCTGTGTAGCCCTGACTGTCCTGGAACTCACTCTGTAGACTAGGCTGGCCTCGAACTTACAGAGATCCACCTGTCTCTGTCTTCCAAATGTTGAGATTAAAGACATGTGCTGCCAACCACCACCTGGCTCGTTTATTAATTTTTTTAAAGATTTATTAATTTTACATATGTGAGTGTTTTGCCTGTATATATGCCTGTGCTGTGCACAACATGCAGACAGTGTCCCTATAGTCAAGAGAGTATTAGATCCCCAAATTTGGAGTTACATGTGGTGGCTAGTCACAGATTGGGTGCTAGAAATCCAACCCAGATTGTCTATGAGAGCAGCAAGTGCTCTTTCTTGTTCCACACATTTTTTATTTTACATTTATTTTTGTGTGCATATGTGTGCTTATGATTGTGGGGACCTGTGTGGAGGTCAGAGGACAACTTGTGGGAATGGGTTCGCTCCTTCCATCACGTACATCTAGACAATTGAATTCAGGTCGGCGGTCTTGGCAATAAGTGCCTTTATGCAATGAACCATTTTATTTTTGTTTTTGTTTGGTTTTTTAAGACAGGGTTCCTCTGTGCAACAGCTCTGACTGTCCTGGAACTCACTTTGTAGATCAGGCTGTCCTTGAACTCAGAGATCTGCCTGCCTCTGCCTCTGGAGTGCTGAGATTAACGCATGTGCCACCACTGCCTGGCTTCTGAGGAACAATTCTACTGGCCCTGTTTATTTATTTGGACACAGGGTTTCTCTGTGTAGTCTTGGTTGTCCTGGAACTCACTAGTCCAGGCTGGCTTCCAAGTCCCAGAGATCCACTTGCCTCTGCCTTTTGCATGCTGGGATTAAAGGTGTGCTATCATTCCAGGTTCCTATTTATTTTTATGTTGTAGCTCAGGCTGGCCTGCTACTGTGTAACCAAGGTTATCCTCAACCTTGGGTGGTTCTTCCTGCCTCAGCATTCACCCATACATTGTATAAACATGTGAGCCATTCTTCCTAGCTTTATTTCTAAACAGGTCTCTCGTAGGCCAGACTGACATCTTAACTCTTGCTTCCACCTCTCAAGTGCTGGGATTATAGCCATAAACCAGAAGGTTCTATCTCCATGTTTAAGATACTAGGTGACAGTAGATTTTAGGATTGGGGAAGAAGGGAGCCAGGATTTGAGACTGAGTTGATAGAACTCCAAAACCCTGTTCCAGATGACTCAGGCCCCCTTCATTCCCTCAGGGGGAGCAGCAGACCCAATCCTACTAGCTAGGCATAGATCAGAGTGATGTCACCATCTCCGCAGCTGATTCAACAGGCCTCTGGGGGAGGGGTCTATTGGCGGGATCTTAAGAAACCAGCAGACCAGGCGACGAGGCAGGGGAGGTTCCAAAGTCAGGTGTGGCCCGAACACTCCATTAGAGGGTGGTCTGTTTCTCGGTCCTTCCAGCAAAAGCGCAGCCCCCTGCCATTCTTAAAGTTGAAGGGACGCGAGCCCAGAAAGGTGTGTGCGAGTCAGTGAGATCTCCTAGTTTACACAGCTAGAGGGGGACTACCAAGAAGGACCAGCTTGGTTGTGGGGGTCTCCAGCCTGTCACTACATAGCTCTCTGGATTGGTGGTGGTAGAGATGTTTGCGTCCCCTAAGCAGGCCATGATGGGTGGAGGGACGGACGACCGGGGTGTTACAGAGTGGGGAGGAGGTGGTAGGATGCTGGTGACCATATGGAGGTTTGGGGATATGCGTGGAAAGTGCCTCGATTCTTTCAGACCGGGTGTGGGTGTGGTTCATAGAAGCCAGGGAGGAGGATCCGCAGGTTCTGAGGGGTGAGCTTGAGGCAGGCAAGTGGCAAGCGAGTGTGTCCCGCCTCTGGGGTAGGAGGGTCTGGGGAGCCTGCGGGTGGCGATGGGGAGG